GGCTTGGGCACTCGCCTGCCTCTGAGGGCAGGGGTGCTGAGCGCAGAGCTTGCTCTTAAGATGTTGAAATAAACCCAATTGATTTCTTATCAAAGTACATAATTTTTCTGCAGGTTTCACCTCCAAATGAAAATATTGTCCTTACTAACCCAAACAGACCCTGGTGGGAAAGATACCAGCCTATCAGCTACAAGCTCTGCACGCGATCGGGAAATGAAAATGAGTTCAGAGACATGGTGACCAGATGCAACAATGTTGGAGTAAGTGCCCTGAAAATCTGTATCTGATACGGCTGTGTGAGATGAGGGAGGTTACTGCTGCTGTCCTCCAAGGAGGCATAAATGGAGAATAAACAGAAGGGGAAAAAAAAAGGTTGGATTAATAGTGATATGGTAATGCTCTGGTTATCGCTTCACCAACGTTACCAAGCGTACTGAAACACACTTACGGCTTTTCCAGGTTCACATTTACGTGGATGCTGTTGTCAACCACATGTGTGGGGCTGCGGGTGGCTCGGGCAGGCATTCTTCCTGTGGAAGCTATTTTAATGCTGGGAACAGAGATTTTCCAGCTGTGCCGTACTCCGGTTGGGATTTCAATGACGGCAAATGTCGAACTGGAAGCGGAGAAATTGAAAATTATGGTGATATGTACCAGGTAACTTCCTCTGGCAGAAGTTTGAGATCTTTTTGCTTTTAATCTGTTGTGTAAACATGACTGTAAGGCCAAACAAAGGGAGCAGTTTCTCCCAAAGCCTGTGCTTAATCACCTGACAGGTGAATGTAGTTGTGAACAAAGGCACAGGAAAGGGACTTGTGGTGCAAAAATATTCTAAGTAGAGAAATCCAGAGCCCTCCCCATAGGTATGGGCAGGAGTTTGCTCCTGAGCTGAGCCCGGTGTACTCAGTTCAGGAGGGTGAGCGGTTTCTTGCACCCGCAGCTAATGTTGGTAGGGAGCCCTTGGAAAATGGTCAGCAGTGCAAGGCAGCCCTGGTTGAGCAACTTTCTATCTAGATGGCAAGCGTGGTAGTTCTTTCCTAAGGTTACTGCTCTTCCCCCAGCCACTTTGCAACACTACAGCATGCCAGTTCTCATCCTCGGTTCTGACATCTGCACAGGGAGCTGACATCCCCCTCCAACTGTATTGAGCTGTAGAGTGAATTTACCTATGTCTGGGTGCAGACCATGGCATGATTCTCTTCTGTGCAAGTAAGATATCCAGACAGAACCGATGTTATGGCTCGAAACAGGCAAATGGTTCACTGCAAGGTTCTACAAGCTGACAGAGCGGCACATCAAGACTCTCTTATTTCCATCACACAGGTCCGAGACTGCCGCTTGTCTAGCCTGCTTGATCTGGCCCTGGAGAAGGACTACGTACGCTCAAAAGTTGCAGAATACATGAACTACCTCATTGATATTGGTGTAGCAGGATTCCGAATTGATGCTGCCAAGCACATGTGGCCTGGGGACATAAGAGCATTTCTGGACAAGCTGAAAAATCTGAACACTAAATGGTTTTCTGCAGGAACAAAACCTTTCATTTACCAGGAGGTAATCTCCATCCTTTTTCCTTTATGTTTGTCTTTGAGAATCTCTTTTACCTTCCTCCTTCAGAGGAATGGCATAATACCCCTTTACCCAACTTTACCCCAGACAGAGCTGGCCATTTTTTTGGGGCAGCCCTGCAGACATAGGTAGTTTTGCTTTTTAAAAATGCCTCCACAACAGACTGTCATGCAACTCCACCTTTTCATTCTTAAGTCATGTTTTCACTCGTGTCTGTCATGTGTTATACTGACTTTGGGTTGACGTACGCAGCAGAAATAAACATACTTGAGTATTTTTCTCACACCGTAAGGCAAGAACTAACGTTGAGGTCTGGACACTGCATGTTTTGTCTCTGAGATGAGAACAGATGCAGCTTCTCCTTCCCGTACCAGGTAATCGACCTG